TCTTACTTTTTTATTGATGTAAAGTAATTTTCATCTCCAAATCAGAGCCTAGTGGAGGGTTAAAGAGAGTTGGCAAATTTATGCAATATGATATCTAAAGTTGCCACATTCAAAATGACTTGTAGCATCTCATTTTGTTTATTAAAGTATCATTGATACATAATCTTATGTTGGTTTCAAATATACAGCACAGTGGTTCAACAGTTACCCACATAATTAAATCTTCACCCCTTCTAGTGTGGTTAATATCTATCAACATAGTAAGATGTTACAGAATCAATAACTATATTCTCCATGCCATACAACAATCCTCATGACCAACTTATATTGTGATTATGAATTATTGTACCCTCTTTATCCCCTCCCCACCACCCCCTCATCCCTGCCCTGCTCCAACCTCTCCCCCTTGGTAACCATTAGTCCCTTCTTGGTGTCTATGAGTCTACTGCTATTTTGTTCCTTCTGTTTGTAGCATGTCATTTTCATTTGCTATTTGTTGTTTGATCCCTCAATGATTTTGTCTTCAGTTTACCCTAATGATGTTTTAAGTTTGAATATAAAGTGAAGTCATTTAATATATTAGTAAAGAATTTTATTCAAAAGGCAATATTTCCATGGGAATTTTTGATAAACATACCAAACTGACCCAAACTATCAAACATTAAGAGACTGATAAAGTCAATCTTTGTTACTATAATTACATGTGCTTTTTAGAAAGTATCACTTATTTCCCCCACTGTATCATATACGTAGACTACTTAGAAAACATTAAAAAATGTTTTTATCATGCAAGAACTCTTAACAGTCAAGCAAGAAGATCCTTTGTGGAAAGCATAGAGAAAGAATTTCTCATTAGATTAGAAGTACACACATAATACAAATTGCAATGGAGTTTATTAAAACTTTAGTAAAAGACTACTGATTTGAGAGTTAACATGACTGTATTCTAGTGTATTCTGCTAAAATTCTCCTAAGAACTTTCTCTATTATCTATCTCCATTTCTTTGCAGTAATATTTGTATATAATATGTTTTATATTCACTCTATAATCTGGCTTCTATGTTCATATCAGTGTATCAAACATCTCTCACAACAAATATTAATAATTGCCATGTTGCTAAATCCAATCAGTAATTTTCATCCCATCTTACTTGACTTCTCAGTAAGATCTGGTATGGTGATACCTCTCCTTTGGAAACTTTCTTGTCCCTTGTCCACAGCCGACCACACTTAATTGTTTTTTCTTTTGTCATGGTAGCCTTTTCTTTCTTATGAAAAGCCCATTCTTTTGCCATAAATTCATATGATGTCAAAGTTACTAAATATATTGGTTCTAGCCATCTTTTTTTTCCCCACTCTATACCATCAACCCAGGGAATGCCATCCATCTCCATGGTTTCAGTTGCCTATATTTTTATGACTTTTAAATGTATATTTCCAGATATGATCTTCTTTCAAGCTTGTCCATGTGTCTTTTAAAAATATCCACTTGAATAGCTAAAACACCTCTAGTAGGTCAACAGAAACTAATTAAGGGTCTTTCCCTGTCATTCCCTGAACAGGATTCTCTTCCACTAATCACTATTTGAATAAACTGCAACACAATTCATCCAGCTGCACAGTCAGCAACCTAAGTATTACATTTGACACATAGTTTAGCAACTCCAACACATTTAGGTGAACTGAATCGTAAAATCTATGGACTATCTATCTAAATAAATCAAAGAATTTTTATTTTCACTGCCACTTCCTCAGACAGAATCATACAATCCAAAAATGTTCTCACCTTTCACTAAGACTACTGGAATAACATCATTTCCCAGTCTTTTTTTTCCACCCATAACTCAGATTTAATTTTACTTCCTGAATTCTGACTTGCTATCTTATAACCAAGAAACATTAAGTAGCTTTCTATTTCTTTAATACTAAAGCCAGTATCCTTAAAAATGGCCTCCTAAGACTTCACATAAACTGCCCCTCATATAATACACATGTAACAAATTATTATTAACTACTTAAAATTAGTTATGAGCAAAAACATATCTAACATTTATCCTCAGTAAGCTTGCTGATTTAAAAAGGAGAAAGACAGCAACAAATAATTTTACAAGCAAATGTAAAAATGCAACTATGACCAGTATTAAAAGTCCATAGAACTTTGTGAATCTATGATACAGGGTTTTGATATAGGCATGCAAGTGAAGGAAGGTTTAATCAATGTCTGAAAAATCTGAACAGAAATCTAAAGACAGATTAAGAGAACTAGATTATTAAAAAATTTAAAAAGACTGTTCCATAGAGTACATCATCATTTCAAAGAATATAGAGATTAGCTACTTTACAGAGAAAATACTTTGTATGGTTCTATTCATTTATATTTATTAAGATCTATTTCATGACCTCTAAGATTTAACTACTAAGAAAAACATACATTTTTACCATTTTCTTTTGCTTTTCATTTCTTTGTATACATGCAGTTTTCAATGTAATGTCATTTTCCTTCTGTCTGAGGGGCTTCTTTCACATTTCTTGTAGCAGGAATCTGCTAATTGTAAATTTCTTCAGATTCTCTACAGCAGAAGTATTTCTAGTCTTTAGTTAACCTTAAATTTTGGAAAGTGTGTTTCCTATATATAGAATAAAGGATGACCTTTTTTTTGTAACAGTACTTTGAAGATGCTCTACTCTCCTGTTCCTTGTCTTGCATTGTTCCAAGGAGAAACTTACTGTAGTCCTCACTTTATTTTTATTTTTCTGTATATAACATATGCTCCCACCCTTCAAATTGTTCTTAAGATTCTTCTTTTGTCACTGATTTTGAACTATGCAATTATGATATGTCTTGGTATGGTTTTTACTGTTTCCTCTGGTTGGATTTTGTTGAACTTCTTGGATATGTGAATTTATACTTTTCATCAAATTTCAAATTCCTTCATAATTATTACTTATTTGTTTTTGTCCTCTCCTCTTACCTGTCCTTCAGGGACTCCACTTACAAGTATTTAGGCTGTTAGAAGTAGTCTCACATCTCACTATTGCTTTGTTCTTTTTCTTTTATATTTTAATTTTCTAGGATTCATTTTAGTTTCTAAGACTATGTGTTCACTTTAATCTTTCACTATGCAGTGTTTAACCTGATATAAATCCCATCTACTTTCATCTATTACATTGCAGTTTTTACCTCTGCCAAGTTTCATTTAGGTTTTCATTACGTACTTCATATTTCCAACTTTTTTAGAGCTTGAGACTCATTTAAAGTATAAATTGAATGGATTTTTGTACAGAATTGTGCATCCTTCCCCATAATCTAATTTTAGGACATTTCATTTACCACCTAAAAGAAACTCCACGTCCATTTGCAGTCACTCCACATACTCTCAACCTTCTCCCATACACCCCAGCCCCACCCAGCCTTGGACAATAACTAATCTACTTTTTGTTTATTTAGACTGGCCTAATGTGGGTATTTCATATATATGTAATCACACAATATGTGCTTTTTTTTGTGACTGGTTTCTTTCACTTAGAATGTTTTCAAGGTTCATCCATTTTATTATGCATTAGTAACTCATTCTTTTATTATGGAAAATTACTCCATTGAGTGGATATGGATCTTCTTTTCCCAATCACTAACTGATGACCATTTGGGTTGCTTTTACTTTGGGGCACTTATAAATAATGCTCCTACAGACATTAGTGTACAAGTTTTTGTGTGTACATTTCCATTTGGTTATGTACCCAGGAGTGGAATTGTGGTTCACATATTCACTCTATGACTGTTTATTTTGAGGTCACTGTATGTTTAGCATTTGTTTATTTTGAGGATTACTAAACTGTTTTCAAAGCAGATACACTATTTTACATTCCCACCAGCAACGTAAGCATTCCACTTTTTCCACACCCTTACCTCACCTTTTTGATTGTAGCGCTGCTTATTTTTTTGAACATAACTATTTAAATATTCTTGTCTGTTGATGCTAACATCTGGTTTTGCTCTGGTCAGTGATTGATTTTTCCCCTAATTATGGGTTTTATTTTCCTCCTTTTTTGCGTGTTTAATCGTATGCCAAACATTTCAAATTGTAACTAATTGGTTGTTAGATTTTTTTTCCCATTTCTATAAATTTTATTGACCTCTGGTCTGCACATATTTAAGTGATTTGTTCACAGTTTAATCCACTTGGTTCTTGCTTTTAATATTTGCTAGGTGTCACTAAAGCAGGGATTAATCTAGAGTTAATGACTCCCAACTACTAAGGCATGACCTGTCTGTGTTTTCTACCCAATGCAGCATAGATTGTGAAGTTTGCCATCCTGACTAGTGGAAAAAGTCACTATTTCTGACCCTATGTGATGTCTTAGGTATTCCTAAACCCCCTGTGGTAAATTTTCTCAGACACGATGCTCAGTATACAGCTAGATACTTGAAAAACTCTGCCAAATTCCTTAGCCTCTCTGAGCAACTAACCTTTCTCCTGCACTGTACTCTGCAGAGAACGTTACCTGCCTTGGTCTCCTCCGAATCCCACCTACACCTTAACGCAGGTAATTCACTGGGCACTGCGTGGGTTCTCTCTAGTTGCACCGCATCCTGGAAAATCTTTAAAGGCACAAAGCCTTTTGAGTTGCTTAGCACCTGTATCTAGGAGCCCTAATCTTCCTTACTGAAGCCAAGTGTTTTGGAAGGCAGACCCAGTATTCATTTCCTACCGCAGTAGAATTTTTTTTAATAAAGTTAATGCAGATAGCTTCCGCTGACCCCCCAAACTCAGGGAAATATCTTGTCTTTTCCGCATAGAGTGAAGAAAAAGTCCGGCAAACCCAACCCAACGCGCTCCTGAACTTCCGCCCTTCAGCACCGTTTATAGACTTGTGCGCCGGCGCAGAATTCCAGCGCATGCGCCGTGGCCAGCCATAACTGCGCCTGCGCCCAACACCGCCAATCCGCTCCTACCAATCAGAGGGCGCACTGACCCGGCAGCCAATCGCCTGCCCCGGCACTCAGTTCGCGGCGGATCCGAAGGGAGCGGAAGGTTCCGGGCAGTTTAGAGCTGAAGCGTCTCGCGGAGAGGGATGGATGCAGCAGAAACCCATGTGGAGGCTGCCGCCCTAGAGTAAGTGTCTGCCCTCAGGCGGCAGCCGGGAGCGGGCCGGGAGGAACTTCCGGGTCCCCGCGTACAGTCGCTGGTCCCCTGAATCCCCTACAGCCTTTACAGTCGGACCTCCGGATGGAATAATCCTGACCCCGGCGCCCGGTCTCAGGTGTCTGCGGTGACTCGCCTCTCACCGGGGTCGTTTATGCAAGAGACGTCCCCTCGCTCCCCAAGAACTACTGCCAAGGGGTGTGTCCTGGGGGAACGGGCCCGTCCCTGCTGACCCTCTGCGCCCCTTTGCAGATCGCACCGTCTTAACAGGAGATTTTACACCGCAGCAGACATCCAGGAAGGGTTATTTAATTTCTGTCTCCCCTGTCCCAACCCATACACTCCCAGCAGGTTATTTCATACCCATCCCTGCCTGCCTCTGGACCAGTCCCATAGACCAAGGCATCCAGCGCCCCCATCCCTCTTCCCCGAATCTCTCAAGTACTCTGAGACCCTGCCCCAAGGCTCGTGCTGTGTGCCTGGAGGGATCCCCACTGCTGTCAGAGTTTCCACCTTATTCTTCCCTTTCCATGTGTATTTCCCAAACTGCCTTCAGACCTTGACTCAAATGGTTTCTCTTCAATGAAACATAGCTTAAAATCACAGGCTCTTCCCCACCACACTTTGTATTCCTCTCACTCTGCTTGTTTTTCCTCATGGCACTTATTACCTCCAAATGTCCTCCATACACCGTTCCTGGTCCCAAATGGCCCTCAGTCCTCTGTGTAGATACTGATCAGAGCAAGACTCTCAGCCTTGATACATACATCTACATACATACATATACACACAAATTCTCCAGAATTAGCACTCCTACTAGAGTCTGCAGTTTCCCGTTTCTTTGCCCCTTCAGGGCCCTGGCCAACCTGGCAGATGTCCTAGCATCTGTAGGTCTACAGGAGGAGGCCGAATTGCCAGCTCCGATCCTGGCTGAGTTTGTGGTGGTAAGTACAAGATAGGAGCCAACCTTTCAGAAGCCAGGGACTGCTCCTGGGTCTTCCTTTTTAAGATGTTGGGCAGCATTGATAGTGAGCAGCCTGTTGGCCTTTAGTACAAAGAGATAAAGGCGTTCCCTGTCTCTACCCTCCCACTGAACAGGACTCCCGAAAGAAAGACAAGCTGCTCTGCAGCCAGCTTCAGGTAGTGGACTTCCTGCAGAACTTCTTGGCTCAGGAAGACACTGCCCAGAGCGTGGACCCCTTGGCTTCAGAGGACACGAGCCGTGAGTAGGCTGCCCTGATGGGGGAAGTAAGAGGACATCAGTTAGGTCAACTTTTTGACCGATGGGAAGACTGAGCCCCAGTGTTGCAGGTATACAGGCCAGTGTTATTCATGACCTCATTCCTGGTGACTCATCTCAGGACAGAAGGCAGTTGCAGCCAAAGAACACTGGAAAGAGCTGAAGGCCACCTACCAAGAGTATGTGGAGGCAATCATAGGTGCCCTGACCCAGGCCCTGCCCAAAATGGAAGAGGTCAAAAGGAAGCAGGCACAGCTCCAGGAGGCCCTTGAACAGCTCCAGGCCAAGGTACATCTAGGGTGAGGGGAGGGAAGGGCATGCAAAGAAGGGAAGGGAAAGGATGAGCATGCTTGGTTGGATGCATTGGCCACCTCCCAGAATCTAAACACAAACACATGCTCCTCTCTTTGTCCCTCTCCTTTGCTTATCTACAGAAGCAAGTGGCCTTGGAGAAACGCAGAGCAGCCCAGAAGCAGTGGCAGCTGCAGCAGGTGGGGCCATTCCTCTAGTAACATATCGCTTCCCACTACCATACCACTGCATGTGCTATAAGTCCTCTGCCTGCAGAGCCTTCAACTCATTTTCTCCCATGAGGCATTATAATACATACCAACATGAACTTGAGTCCTAGCATTGCCACTTGCCACTGTATGACCTTGGGCAGTCACCTAACTTCCTGCACTTGTTTCTTCTGTAAAATGGAGGCAACATTACCACCTACCCCATGGAGTTAAGATGATGAAGTAATTAAACTTGTGCCTAGCATATAGCAAACTAAGTAAGTCTGTCCTAGTCTTTATGCCCCTTTCCTCCAGAATGCCTCATTGGAAGAGCTCATTCTGACCCTTCCTTTCATCTAGACCCTTGGTCCTGCCTAAAGTGAGTAGGGTCCTCTTTTCCTTCTGTGGGTCTAAGCCCTGAGCTGGGTCTAGGCTGGAGGGTTTAGGAGAATGACTCTAAAACCTCAGCATCTGACTAAGCCATGTCTGCATTCTCACTGCTGGTAGGAGAAGCGTCTGCAGCATCTGGCAGAAGTTTCTGCAGTGGTAAGGGGGCGTCAGACAGGAGCTCAGCAGAAGCTTGAGCAGCTATATCAGGAACTTGGAACCCTGAAGCAGCAGGCAGAGCAGGAACAAGATAAGCTTCACAGGTGAGGCTGGGAGCATGGGCTGCAGGTGGTCTAGTTGAGGTTCCCTCTCTTAACACCACCTCTTCCTTGCAGGCACCAGACCTTCCTCCAGCTGCTTCACATCCTGCAGGGTAAGCTGCTATTCCCTGAAGCAATGGCAGAACTACCTCAAGAGCTGGATCTTCCTGAGAATAAGCCCCAGCAACTGACCCAGCTCCAGGAGCAGAACATTGGGAACATCACTAGCAGAGATGGGGGTGTGTCCTCCAAGGTGAATGACAGGTGGGACAGGTGGGCAGGGAGGTGGAGAGAGAAGTGAGAGGTAGGACCTACCCACTGCCATATCTCCCCAAGGCTGAGAGCCCATGACCTTTTGGAGAAGCAAGCTTACCATGGCTTCCTGGGGGACAAGAACTTGGGGAAGGATTCTAGAGCAGGTCAGACTTCAAGTCAGGCCCCGGCATCCCTGGATTACAGGGACTGGGGAGGGCCTCTCTTCTACTTGTACTGTATCTGAGTGTTGCTGTTCTTAGAGGGGGTGACAAGTTTATCTTTTGGTTGAGGCTTCACACCTCACCCCCATACTCAGCCTGCTCTCAGCTAACCCCTCTGTTCTTATTTCCCAATCCTCTGGCCCTACCGTCATTGCAGGATGACTGTAAACTCCTGAGTACAGCCCGATTTCCAACCATGACACAACTGGGGGCAGGCTCTGGTTCTATTAGTTAAATGCCCTGCAGCTCTCTCAGTTGCCTTTTTGTCTGTTCAGCTTCATATGTTGGTGGGGCGAGCCTCACTTAAAGGCCAGCAAGTCAGGTGCTAGGACTGGTCTGAATGGAGAGGAGGCCCTGGCCTGGGACCTCAGGGGTTGCTTGCCCAGATTCATATGTAGCAAAAATGCTGAGCTTAATTCAGGGAGGAGGAGGAGGATGTTTTATGCAGGTGATGAGCTATGGGAAGATCATTTTAATCACTGATCCAAATGTTTACTAAATCTCTGCTTTGGGTCAGACCCCTTCTGTGAACTGGCACTGTAGCAGTGGGCTTGTCTGACTAGTTCTTGGTCATGTGGAACATAATGAGCATAAACATATAAATGGGTCAGTAAGATGATTTCAGAGTGTGGTAAAACAATAGCAAACTAGAATAGAGTAATATGATAAAGAGCAATAGTGAGAGGACATAGAGGCCCCAGTCTGTCTGTATTGGCCTGTGTCTGAGTGAGTTTGTGTTAGTGTCTGTTTGGGTATTTCTGTGTTGTGTTGCTCTCTGTTTCAGTTCCTCTGTGTGTGTGTTGCAGGAGGTGTGGCCAGTGGAGGGCACTGCTGTGTGTGTGAAAAAGAGATTGCATCCCTGACTGGGAGTGTGGGAACTGCTAAGAGAGAGAGAGAGATCAGTGACTACTGTCAGAGTGGAAAACCCATTCTTCATATGAGAAAGGACCATAATGTATGAGAAAGACTGAAACATCTCTGAGAGAAGAGACACTGGGCCCTTTGGTTTTGGTGAGAAAGAGTTTCAAGAGACACGGGTCCCTATTCTGATACTGGGATGCCTCCTCTCAGGTGGAGATTAAGATCCCTTGTACTGTGATGGCTTGCTCTGCTTTCCTGAGGTGCCTTTAGTTTTCTCTCAAATTGTTCTTTTAAATACATAGGCTCCATTTTTTAGGACTGAAATAGGACAGGTATCAGAGTTCTTTGAGGACTTGAATCATGACTGAATGAGCTTGTTGAGGCTTGAGGATACTCCCCTAGGGCGCACACAAATACCAGAGCCCTCCTCAGTCTACCCATCCTACTGCCTCCCACGGGGGCCCTGCTACCGCCTTTCAGCAACCCAGATAACCCAGGCCATCCTAGTGGGCTCCCCTTTACCCTATGGTCTTGTTTCTTCTTTTAGTCTTGTATACTTCAGAATTTTCATAGCACAGAGGAGAGGCCAAGAATATATCTGCCCTTCAAAAGGAGTGTCTAAGGGACAGTGGGGTATGGATTGGGATTGTGTGGAGTTTCTCTGTCTACACATAGGGCAGCTGACAGAAAGTCAGCAGGGAAGGGAAGATACTCCTATGGAGCCCTTTAGCGTGGGGATGAAGAATAACATCCTGAGATACTCCAAAGCAGGGGCTGGGGTAGGACATTGAGCACATGTATAATAGTCAAACTTAGAGGTCTGCAAAAATGCTGGGAAGCATACTTCTCTCAGAAGGTATGAAACAAGTTGGTTCATTTGGAGGCCAGAGAAGAGGGGAGCCTTGAGTATCTGCAATGTTCAAATTCCCTGATTCCTCCAGAATGGCTGGAGTTGCCCAGAAACCTCTTGATTGGCAAGCTCAGGAATTGGCATTTATTTTCAAATAGAAGCTGATTTCAGCTTCCTGTTGTTCTCAGCCCTTTCTTAGGTTCTCCTAAAGACTATCCATGTTCACTGATGACTTTTTCAAGGTAGATATGTGCAAGGAGTGACCTTGCCCTGGGAAATTGTGATCTCTTACACAAAGAGAGAGAGAGAGACTTATAGGAATTGACAGTGATTGCTGAAAAGGCCCAGATGCCTGCCAAAGATTTCCTCTTCCTCTTTTCCATCCAACCTAGGGACACAACAACCAGTGAAAAGTAGAGAGGAACTGGAGACTAGCCAGTGAATCAGCAAAATCAAGACAATGTTACTCCACCTCAACCAGAAATGTTCTTGATAAAGTGATGCCTAAGTTTACTCCATTAAACAAATGGAAAACTTTTTTCCTGTTCTCTGTAAGCATAATGTTTTCCTTTTTAAATATTTTCTTTTATGATAAAACATTTTGCTTTTTTCTAGTTTTAATTTCATATTTTCTAAGTATTGTCATTATTTGGGAATTTTCCATTTTTAATTTTTTAAGTTTATTGGTATGAAGTTGTGTTAATCATTTTTATCTTTTTTAATATCTATGGCCTGTTTTAGGATTGCCTAATATTCCTGATTTTTGTGCCTTACCTAATTTAATTGATTCATCATTTCAGATGTTCATTCATTTTCAAATATTCAAGGATTCAAAGATTAGCTTTTGTGTTCTACTATCATATGTTTATTCTGGTTCATGGATTTGTAGTCATATCTTGATCATTTCTACCTTCTGTTTTTAGTTGGAGAAGATGCACTTTTTTGTGTGAATTCTTTATCAGATGACAAACTTGTGTATTTGGATCTTCATTTGATATCTCAAATAAACATTTGACAATATAAATTTTTCTGGCTTTCCCTAAATATTTTCACAGCCATTCAATTCATAGAATTTCCATTTCCCATTATAATTATTTGATTCATTTTGATACTAATTTCTTAGGGAAAAAAATTTTGTGGGAGCATAATCTTTCTAAGTTTATTCTTATTTGTTCAGGTAATGTTGATATAATAAAAACTGAAATTTGGTGAGTGAAGTACTTATAGTCTTGAATGTGGTCTATAATGTTTTATATGAATTTTAAAAATATCTGCTTTATAATTGTCATGTGTACTGTTTTCTGTTTGTTATATTATGCTTATTTTTTCAGCTTATATCTTTTATATACTTTTATATCTTTTACTATACACATTTATATCTTTTACATATGTTGCATATCTTTTTACTTCATATGTTTGTATCTTGTATATACTTAATCTTCCACTTTGGTACTCTGTAGTTTGACTACTTTATGAAGAATATGGGATTGTGGTTTATTCATTTGTTCATTCATTCTGCTTGCAGTTAAACTATGTGCAATTGCCAGTCTTTCAATAATTGTGAAGTATTTTCAGCTTTATCTCTAAAAAGTACTCTTACCTCTTCTTTATTAGCTTCTTCTGAGACAATAATTGTATTTTCTAACTGTGTTTTTTTCACACTATATAAACTTTCTTTTATATTTATCATTATTTTTTCTCTTCAGAATGTATTTAGATGCTTTCTTTAAATCTATTTTTGTTAAACTGTATGTTATCAGTCTGTTATTTCACCATTAGCTTAATTTTTTATTTTCATTTCAAGCGGTTGTATTCAACCCCAGTCTACTTTATTTGGATTTTGTTGTTACTCTGACTCACGTTTTGACCTTTTATTACTTTGAACATACCATATATAGGCCTTTTGTCATCTGTATTCGCAAGGTTCATAATTTACATCTTTGTGGACCTTTATCTTTTGCCTGTATTGGATATACCTCGTCTTTGTGTGGTTGTGTACTTTTACTATAAGCTGTCCATATTTCCCGAACTTTATCTTTAAGAATATTATACGTCCCATTATAAAGTTGGGATGACTTGTGTTTATAACAGTTGAATGTTATACTCCCCCACCCCCCCAAAAAAAATCACTAAAGTTGTTCAATGACACTAGTATTTCTGGATGATGACAGTTAACAAATCAAAATGTACACACCAACTAGAAACTGGTGATGAACCACCTTTTCCTACAGCTCAGTGCTTTTTGGTGTATTAGTCACTGAAGGCTCAAGACTGAGAACACTGGGAAGCATGTTCAGCAATGCAAAGTCACTCACTGTGCTTGAATAATATTCTACTTATCAAGGTTTTAAGGACTAACAATTGAAACTGAGCAGGAAAACAAAACTCAGCCAAATATAAAATGTTTAAAGAACAGTGACCTACTTTGCATCACTTAGCAAAATGAGTATAGTTTTTAAATGATCCCTTGTGACTACCATGGTAACTTTAACAATTCTGTAGGTAATAGTAAAACATACATTTATATGTATTTATGTATATATATATATATATATATATCACACAAACACATACATACAAACAAAATTGGCAGGGAGACTAGATTACATGGAGAAAGTGAGAGTGACTATGATGGGTGTTAGGCTTGCTTTTTCAGATACAGAGCCCGTCATTAACCATTTTTTCTCCTTATTCCTCTGTACAGGAACGTACATATTTTGCTTCCACAAGTGAACATACACTAATGCCTTCATACCTTAAAAGTTCTTAGTAAATGCTCCTTGGCTTGTATTCAGGAAAGATTTCCCAAAGAGCTGCCTCTTGAGCTCAATTTCAAACAAATGATACTATCCAGAGTCAGATTTCATCATTTACTGAATGTCACCTATGCCCTACATAAGTTCTGAGAATTTTTTCTTAAAAATGATAAGGGCAATTTGAGTTTAAATTTGGAGACAAGAAGTAAAAATATATGAAAAACTAAAAATACTGTCATTGTTAACATCTAAGCATCTGGGTGTTTTGGCAGCACTAAGAATAATCGTATACTAGGCAGAAGGAACATTGTACAGACTGGTGACTTCAGGAATGATAGTGGCCAAGCAAACTTTGGAGCATGGGGTGTAAGGGAGGAAATGGGAATGGTGAGTTTATGAGGGACTTTTAGCTTTACCCTAATGGCTATACGAAGTCAAAGCCTTCAGAAGCCAAGGAAACCTACTGATTTTCTTCCCTACTTTGACAAGAAGTCTCCAGGTATATTTGAATCAGGGAAGTCACATTATTGGTGAGTACATTTATGAATTCTGGACAGAATGTACATTTATAAAGCAGTGTAAGTGCTTCCATCTGCCTCTTGAGGTAAACATGTTTCCCTGAATAAGCATTGCTCATTATTGGGATTTGCTGTAATGACAGCAACTAAAAAGCTGAAACCCATTTAGGCAATTAGATACCATATTGAAGCAACATTGGAATGGCAGTAGAACAGAGCCTCTATTTTAGAATGCTGCTACCTATAAATGAATTAATATAGTAGTCATAATTATAAACAGTTGCATGTTTTACTCCCCCACCCCCCAAAAAAATCACCAAAATAGTTCAATGACACTAGTATTTCTGGATGATGACAGTTAACAAATCAAAATGTACACACCAACTAGAAACTGGTGATGAACCACCTTTTCCTACAGCTCAGTGCTTTTTGGTGTATTAGTCACTGAAGGCTCAAGACTGAGAACACTGGGAAGCATGTTCAGCAATGCAAAGTCACTCACTGTGCTTGAGTAATATTCTACTTATCAAGGTTTTAAGGACAACAATTGAAACTGAGCAGGAAAACAAAACTCAGCCAAATATAAAATGTTTAAAGAACAGTGACCTATTTCCCATCACTTAGCAAAATGAGTATAGTTTTTAAACGATCCCTTGTGACTACCATAGTAACTAACAATTCTGTTGAGCAATATTCAGAGATTACTGGAATATAAAGATAAGAGGAGCTTCGTATTAGGTGCCTATTTCACCATTGGCACTAGCAACAGGTTCTTACCCTTGAAAAAGAATGAAACAAACCTTACTTGATTTTGAAAAGCTTTGGTTGCTTTCAATGGATTTTCTGTTTTATTCCCTCCACTTCCCTCTCATTCCCCATTTCAGGAATTTTCAGGAACTAAGTCATTAATTAAATTTAACTCTGTAGGTGAGATGATGGTTATGATCTGAAGGAGTAAAAGTAGTGGGAAAAATACAACAGAAAAAATAATAGCTCGTAATTCAAGTAATTTTAATAATCATCATATTGTGTATCTTACGTAGGAGGAAAACTAGAACTATGGGGTTGCACGTGCCTCAAGGCAAAACTTTTGTTTTATATCTAATGAAATTTTTTTTTGATATTACATAACTTGTTTGTATGAGTCCCAGTACCTGTAATATAGTACATTGTCCACCTCAAAGAGGTAACAGTCTGGCAGGTGGCAGTAAGGATTTCTTTATAAGGTTCACAGTTTCTGGCAAATTTCTTGCTTTGTTTGTTCTTTTTCTGAAAATTGGATGTGTTTGTACATACCCAATCTTACTCATAAAAGGAGTGATTTTTCATATTTTGAGAATTGTTAATTGTATTCAAGTATAGAATTGTACTAATTCTTTCATAATTTTGATTAGTATTCATTCATAAACATTTCTGAACACCTATGTATCAGCTACTATTTCTATTTTTTATTATATATTTGACATACAACATGTAAATTTAAGGTATATACCATGTTAACTTGATACATTTATTGTAATATGGTTGTCAACGTGGCAATCATTAGTGCCTTAATCATATTTCTTTTTAGTGGTTAGAATAATTAAGTTTTAGTCTCTCAGCAAGTTTGATGATTATAATACAGTATTGTCTATATGGACTGTATTGTGCATCATATCTCTAGGGCTTGTTTACTAGTTGCAAGTTTGTGCTCTCAAACATCTATTCCACTCCCCCACCCACCATCCCCTGGTAACCGCCATTCAACTCTTCTGTTTTTACAAGTTTTTCTTTTTTTTAAGGTCCGCATATAAGCGATACCATACAGTACTTGCCTTCCTCTGCCTGACATCTCACTTAGCATAATATACTCAAGGTCTAGCCCATGTTGTTGTAAATGGAAAGATACCCTTTATTGATTGAATAATATTCCACTCAGTGAATTTTTATATATATATGTACATGACCTCTTCTTTATCGATTATTCCATTGACAGGCACTTAGGTTATTTCTATATCTTAGCTATTGTGAATAATGCCACAATAAATATGGAAGTGCATATATTTCTTTGATAACTTACTTTCATTTCCTTTGGGTATATACACAGAAGTGGAATTGCTGGGTCATATAGTAGATCTATTTTTAATTTTTAAAGCAACTCCATAATGTTAGATATTTTGGCTGAAAAATCATTACTTTCCCACCAAGAGTGGACAAGGAGCCCCTTTTCTGCACTTCCTGATTATCACTTATCTCATCTTGATGATAGGCAATCTTATAGTTGTGAGATGATGTCTCATTATGGTTCATTTCCATTTCCCTGATAATTAATGATTTTAAACATGTTTTTGTGTATGTATTGGCCATTTAGATGTCTTTGGAGAAATATCTGTTGACTTCCTGCACATTTTTAATCAGATTGTTTTTCTGTTACTGACTTGTATGGGTTTTTATATATTTTGGATATTTACCCTTTATCAAAAATATGGTATGCAAAACTTTCTGTCTCTCAGCATAGTAAGATGCTATAGAGTCACTACTTGTTTTCTCTGTGCTATACTGCCTTCCTCGTGACCTACCTATATTGTGACTGCAAATTATAGTGCCCCTTAATCCCTTTCTCCTTCCCAACAGTCCTCCCCAACATCTCCCCTTAAGTAACCACTAGTTTCTTCTCGGAGTTTGATTCTGCAGCTTTTTTGTTCCTTCAGTTTTGCTTTGTTTTTATACTCCACAAATGAAGTCATTTGATACTTGTCTTTCTCCTCTTGGCTTATTTCACTGAGCATAATACCCTCTAGATCCATCCACGTTGTTGCAAATGGTAGGGTTTCTTTTCTTATAATAGTTGAATAAATTCCATTGTGGATGTGTACCACATCTTTATCCATTAATTTATTGATAGACACTTAGGTTGCTCCCATGTCTTGGCTATTGTAAATTGTGCTGTGATAAACATAGGGGTGCATATGTCCTTTTGAATCAGTGATCTTATTTTCTTTGGGTTAATGCCTAGGAGTGGAATTCCTGGGTCAGTGATATTTCTATTTTTAGTTTTTGTGGAACTTCCATATAACTTTCTATAAGGGATGAATTAATTGACATTCTCACCAACAGGGTTCTGCTTTCTCCGCATCCTTGCCCGCATTTGTTGTTTTTTTGACTGTTGACTGTTGACCATCCTATCTGATGTGAGGTGATACTCATTGTTTTGATTTTCATTTCCCTGATGATTAGCAATGTGAAGCTTCTTTTCACATGCCTGCTGGCCATCTGAATTTCTTCTTTGGAGAAGTGTCTGTTCATATCCTCCTCCCATTTTTTAATAGGGTTATTGCTTTTTGGATGTTGAGACTTATGAGCTCTTTATATATTTTGGATGTTAATCCCTTATTGGATAAGTCATTTATGAATATATTCTCCCATACTGTAGGATACCTTTTTGTTCTACTGATGGTGTCCTTTGCTGTACAGAAGCTTATAGTTTGATGTACTCCCACTTGTTAATTTTTTATTTTGTTTCCCTTGCTGGAGGAGCTGTGTTCAGGAAAAGGATGCTTATGTTTATATTCAAGGGATTTTTGCCTATGTTTTATTCTAAGAGTTTTATGGTTTCAACACTTAAGTTCAGGTCTTTGACCCATTTAGAATTTACTTTTGTGTATGGAGCTAGACAGTAATCCAGTTTCATTCTCTTACATGTAGCTGTCCAGTTTTGCCAACACCAGTTGTGGAAGAGGCTGTCATTTCCCCATTGTATATCCATGGCTCCTTTATCATATACTAATTGATCATATATGTGTGGGTTTATATCTGGGCTATATTCTCTTCCAATTATCTATGGGTTTGTTCTTGTGCCAGTACCAAATTGTCTTGATTACTGTGGCTTTGCAGTAGAGCTTGTAGTTCAGGACATAAACCCCCATCTTCATTCTTCCTTCTCAGTATTGCTTTGGCTATTCTGGGTCTTTGTGGTTCCATATTAATTTTAGAACTATTTCTTCTAGTTCCTTGAAGAATGGTGTTGGTATTTTGATAGGGATTGTATTGAATCT